TTTAGAAAATGACTTATTTGTCACATTCAACTCTAATTTTACTGCTGATTCAGAGCAAAAAGAAAAAAATTAGAGGGACCTTGAAACAAAAATATTTATTGGTTAGGAAATATGGGTGGTAAAGGAGGACAGGGGAAGAAGAGAAGCAGAGGTTTTGAATGATTAAAATGATTTTGATTTTTAGTGGTGAACACCGAAACTGTTTTAATATCTGGAGAACATTTGCAGAATATTTTGATTAATTCTTTTTCTTCCTTGAATAATTCAGCAAAAAAAATTTTTGTCGAAGAAAAAGAAAAGTAATTAAAAACAAAACGAAACCATTCATTGCTTGGCGAAATGGGATCAAACGGTAACAATGGCTTTTTGGAAGTCAATAAATGACAGCTTTCCAGCTCCGTAAAATTAGGTAGAATTACATCGAAAAAGCATATTTTGTTGTTGTCGTTTTTTTATTTCTTATTTTCTGATTTTTCAAGCAATCAAATATGTAAATTTGTTACTGGATTGATCACATTAGGAAGCTTTAAAGACTACCGTTTATAAAGCGATACAGATCTTGTTTTGCGTTCTCGCTTATTATGACAAGTAGGATATTTCAATCAATCAGGCATGAAGGATAATCAAAAAACCTTCCTTTTGAGCCTTTTGATATGTTTATGTGTGTATATATATAAAGTGGAAATGAGTAAACAATAAGGCGAACAATGCGCATATGGCATTTATCTGCTTGCGGAAGAGCAAAAAAAAAGAATGAAATAAAATGAAATAAATAAATTAAACAAATAAATGAATAACTAAACAAAAATGTTGAAAAGGAAAGGACTTTGAGGTACTTCACATTATTTAATTAGTCATTTTTTTTTTCAGAACGATGAAAGTGAAGAAACGGAAATTAAAGAATCTGACAGATTTACAATAACCGAAGGTACATTACACGTCAAAGCATTGCTACCATCAGATCAAGGCATTTATACTTGCGTTGCTTCAAATCCGTTGGATAGTGTTACACGAACTGTTAATATCAAAGTGTTTAGTAAGTCATTTGTTATCTGCATAACCTCCAAAACATTTATACTACATAAAATTTTTTTCATATATAAGGCAAAAAAATAATTGGTAGGCAGTTATTGTTTCAGCTTTTTTAGTTATAGCAATAATTAAACGACGGATGTCGTAAAATTTATGGAAAAAGAAAATAATTTTTTGGTGTTCAATCGCTCCTGACCAGGAACAATAGAGAGTGCATTTTTGCGATTTTGCGCAAATTACCTTATTTAGCTAGAAAAAAGCACTTTAATTTTAATTCAGCAATTGCAAAAAGCTGGAATTATTTTAAAATAGAAAAAAAAAAAGAAAGGAAGAAAAAGTTTAAACAAAAACCAAATCTTTGTTTAATGAAACATTAGAATAGTAATTATAAACGAACTTTTTTGACTTTTTAGAGAAACCAAAAATAAATAAAATGGAGAACTTAACAAAGGCTAAAGGTGATGAAGTTGAAATGCGATGTACTTATACTGGCGATGGTGTAATCAAAGCAAAATGGGTTCATCTCGGTGAAGAATTTGCTGCAAATGACGTGGAAGATGATACTGGCACTCAAACTAACGGAGATGTGCGTAATTTTTACACTAGTTTATTCCAAAAAAAAAAAAAAAAAAAACTGAAAGTGCAGAAAATATTTTTATCACATTTAGGAACATGGTCATTACGATAATGAGAATAGGAAAAGAGACGTTGAGGAAGGATTTGAGCAAGACGTCGAAACAAGAGAAGAATCTGATAATGTAATATTTTTATAGTGAATTTATTTCTAAGTGAGGGAAGGAGTAGTGATTAGAAATATCAGACAGCATCGTTAACATCTATTTTTATACTTTTAAGAACGGACATATAACTGTGAAACAAGAAGGAGATACTCTGGTTTTGACAATTGCTGCCGTACGGGAAGATGATTCTGGCGGATATCAGTGTGTTGCAGAAAATGATGCTGGTCGAGATCAACGAGAAATTTTCTTGTCCATTACTCGTATGATTTTTTTAATGCTTAGTTTAAACAGCGTTTTTCAAAATCTGGCAATCCTTATCGCGCTTCTGAGTTCTTTGCACTTTTAAATGACGTTACGATCCAGAAGACAAGGATTGGATTTGCTGAAGTAGAGTAAAGCTTGAATTTAGGGCAACCGACAATTACGTCGTACAGTGAATCACAGAAAGCTGTACAAGGTGGTTCCATAATGCTCCACTGTGAAGCAAGTGCTGTACCAGATCCAGAATGGGCGTGGTATGATACTAAGAATGTTACAATTGTTCCTGATGGCGAAACAGTTAAAATTGATTCTCATTCAATTACTTCTAAATTAATAGTGAGTCTCTTCGTTTTTCTTCTCTTGTTTTAAGGCTTTTGATTAATTTTTTGGCTACTTTTTTTTTATTTATGAAGGCCAAAATGAGGCTAAAATAATTAATTTTTCTTCAGATCAGCCCAATGTCTACAGAAAACTTTGGCACTTATTATTGTATTGCATCGAATGGAATTGGTAGTCCTACTGGACATGCTATAGATGTTGTCGAAACAGGTAAAGAAAACTAATGAAAAATAGATATGTAGTAGCAACTGTAAAATCTATTAAGACGTAACTTTTTCATTTTTTTTTTGTCTTTTTTGGAGAGAAAGTCTTAGATGCTAAGATGGGTATTACTGATTAACTACAAATTTGAAACTATAGTTTATTCTGTGTATTTCATTTTTTAGTGCTGCCTGAAGTGCCGTCAGATGTGCAATGTACAGGAAATTTGTACCCAAACTTTGCTGCTTGCAAGATCAGTACTTATAATGATGCCAATTTGGGTCAATTACCAAACAGTTTAACATTTCAGTATATTGAGGTAGTGCTAAATTGCAATAAAATATAGTTGTCATGCATAATAAATGTTGCCAAAAGATCAAGTTTCTTTTTTGAATCACGAATGTTGTATTTAGAGCGACAAAAGTTTTGAAGATGATAATCCAAGTACCTTTTCTGCTGCTGTTAGTGAATATAATCGCGAAAAAGAATATATTATTAGCGGTTTGACACCAGAAACAAAATATAAGTTACGCATTAGTGCAACTAATGAAGCTGGTACCACAGATTTTAGTGATGATATACTCATTGAAACAAGTGAACCGAAAGGTATTTCCGTTTCAATTTTTCCCAGCATTTTATGAAATTAAATTTCTGTACTTTATTATTTTCTATCAAAACAGCAAATTTTTGATTTTTTATGCAAAAAAATTTTATTCAAGCAAAAAACTTCTAGTCAAATAATATTTTAAGTTCCTGAAATGCCAAGCGAAGTTCGTACGGTATGTAACGAAAGTTGTTATGTCGATTGGACCGTACCAAACAATATGGGTTCACCGATTATCAAATATCGCATTCAGCTGACTGAACTACGGGATGAGAATACGGTACACTTTTACAATTATATCGTCACTGAAATCTTCAAGAGTTGTAGAAATTCCTACCTATGATTTGTTTTTTTTTCTTTCTCTTCTTTTGTTTTGTTTCGTTCTGTTTTCTTAATCACACATATATTACCGAATATCGTTATTACTGTTTTTTT